CAACTTAGCCATTGGCTACCTAAAGTGGGAGGAACTATAAAGGCTTTAAATGCATGAAGTGACTGGCTTACAAGTTTTCAAGAGATAGTTTAGTTTCAGAGTGTGTGGAAGAAGGTAGAATCCCCACTAGTTTCCATCTTGTCTAGATGTGTCTGGTGAAAAGAGCTGGGGATAAGATTATTATGATTCTTATAAGAATAGTGAGTAATTGCTATCATGACTAATCATGACTGTCACAACTGTAAAGATAGAAGTTTTGTAACAAAAAGAGAGGAGTAATTAATCATACAGTCCAGGAACAGAGAACCCTAGGACCATCAAGGGAGAAGAGCATGAGTGGAATGTGGGACCCTATCCAGAGAAGCAGCGAAACCAGAGATGGAGACAGAGATAAGGGCATGGAGAGAGAGAGAGCAGCTGAGGACACCAGACTCATGGAAAGAGAATGGCTGTGTGCTGGCAGCCAGATGCTGGTGGCCAGGAGGCAGGCTTGCAGAATGTGTCCTTTGGTTGTTTAAATGATTATTTTTTCCTGTGTTTTTGTGTACATCCCCCCAAAAATTAAACAGAGGGAATTGAAGCAAATGCTGTTGAATGATGACTCGAGGAGATTGTAATCATTGCGATGAAACGGTGAATGTAAAACTGATGTTCTGCCATGTAAATTATCACTTAATTTAGAATAAAAACTTAAAAAAAAAACCAACAACCAATAATCTATGATTGGATACATAGACATTTAAGCCAGACAGGTAGGAGAAAGCAAATATAACCACAGCCATGAATATCTATTAGTTGGACAGATGATACATTTACCAACTTCCACAGTCTGAAATTGATCAAACATGCAATTAAAATGTATTGATAATTACTGATGTTTGGAATGCAAAGGTTGGAAACAAAGAGGAAGTATCAGTACTTGGAAAATATGACCTTGGTGAAACAAACGATGCAGGAGATCACATAATAGAATTTTGCAAGATGAGAGACTTTTAAACAGCATAAAATACTACTATACACATGGATTTCACCAAATGGCTTACACAGAAGTGAAACTGACTACATCTAAGATAAGAGATGGTGAAAAAGCTCCATATCATTAGCTCAAATAAGGCCAGAGGCAGACTGTGAAACAGACCATCAGTTGTTCATGTGCAAGTTCAGGGTGAATCTGAAGAAAATTAAAACAAGTTCACTAAAGCCAAAATTTAGCTTTGAACATGTTGTTGTTGTTATGTGC